CCACTCTATCACGACGTTTAAAGAGAAGTAGTAAAGACTAAAGGTCCCCCCGTCCCCCTACCCCTCACCCCTACTCCTATGCCTTTTATTTTTTATGAAGGGCTTTGCTGTGCTACACACAATCAAAAGGAGTGAGTTGTTTCTCGATGACAATGTACAATAACTGGCGACCCGACGTAACCTCTTCCTTCCTAACCCCCTCCCCCCTCCTCTCGCACCACCCACTCGTTCTCCTCCTCTTCCTCGTCTTTATTCTTGAACCAGGTACAAGAGTATCTTACACCCTTTATGGTTTTACGTTCATCGTTGTGTTAAGCTCGAAACTTTTCAACCCTCGTTTTCAGGTTAAGCTCAAAACTTTTCAACCCATCTCAACGTAGGCTCAAAACTTTTTTCAACGACCCTCTCGCAGTGTGGTGTTCAGTGTTGATCGTGTGTTAGGCTCAGAACTTTTCGATATTCACCAGGTTAGGTTCAGAACTTTTCAACCCTTCTCAATGTAGATTCAAAATTTTTCAGAAGAAAAGTTTTTACCGGCGGCACACGGATTGGAATCCTAATCTGATCTCCTAAAATTGTGGTAAAGTGTTGAAAAAGAAAAAAAAATATATATATATATCAAGTAGAAGCTGTGTAAGGTAAAAACAAATAAAAAGAAATTGATTATTAATTTTCTTCAGTTTTTTTTTTACTCATTAATTTATTTATAATATTTGTTTTTTTTTCTTTCTCTTAATTTTTTCCATGCATCTCTCTTTCGCATACCCATGATGAGAAAAATTATGGCTTCGATCTGAGTGACGACGAGAGGAGCAGGAGGAAGAGGGGGTGTGGGGAGGGGATTTATTTATGCAGACGATAAATAGAGAAAAAAAGCTTTTCGATTAAATAACTTCTCCATATTTATAATATTTATATTTTGTTTACATATATATTCCTATATATATATACACACATACATACATACATACATACATATATATATATACGTATATATATATATATATATATATAATTATAAGAAGAATATTTGTAGTAGGCAAAACACGGTATTCCTCTAGTAACAAAACATCATTTTTTTTGTTTCGTTATAACGAAATAATAAATTTAACATTTAATAGAAAAAAAGGCTATAAGGACGTTTAAGATACAATGAAAAAAAAAGTTTTTTTTTTTAGGTCCAAAAATCGTTTAGGCTAAAAAAAAAAAAACCTTGATGGTGGTCTTTTTGTTTCATTATTTGTTTTTTTTTTTTTTTTAAACGTTCACAAGCAAGATTACTATCATCAGCCCTTCAACGTTACATATAATATAGGATTAGTCTTCTCATGTGGTCTTGCGGATAATTTCTATTCAATTTCACCCCATAGATAACCTCCTTCCTTCCTTCCTTCATTATTTCCTACCATCCACCCTCCACCCCCCACTGCACTTTTTCACCCTTCCTGACACTCTTCACATACACATTACTAAATTCTTACAAATTTTCTATCATTTTAAATTACATCGTGTCAACCAACCAACCCCTTTGTTTTGTTTTCATCATTTTAATTACATTCACATTTATATAATCCGCATATTTTATTCGCTAGGCTCTTTTTTTTTTCTATTTTTTCTTTTTTCTCTTAATCATTCCGATTTTTAATACTGAATGTGTGGTTTTATCATACGCGTTTACATTTATATACGATCGACACTGACAATTGAAAATTATTAAAAAATAAACATCCCTTTTTTATAGATGCATCATCATCATCATCATCATCATCATCGTCATTATTATTTTATTATTATTATTAGTATTATTATTATCGTCATTATTGCGTATTAATATATTGTGCAGAAATATTTTTGTTATTAGTTAACCTTTGTGTGTTGTTGCTTTCTTTTTTTATAATAATTATATATTAATTATTATTGTAGTTTATAATGTTTTTTTTTTTTTTCACAGAGATGTTTTACACATTTTTGAAGGGTTTGAAACTTGCTAAAACTACTTAGGCATTTTGTTTATGATAATATACGACAATAAATAATATTCTTAAGTTAGGGTTGTTTCAGAGAAAACGTTTAAATGTTTTAAGAATTATACTTTTCTTTTCTTTTTTTTTTTCTTCTTCTTCTTCCTAATCGTGCTAATTATTATTATTATTGTTATTATTATTATTATTATTATTATTATTATTAATAGCTTCTTTATTTTTTTATTCGTTCGTTTAAATACATTCAATTACTACTTCGTGCATGCATATTTGTTTATTTTCTTTTTTTTTTTTCTTTTTTTTTCTTTTTTGGTTTTCCTTACTTTTGTTATACTTTTTCTTCTACTAATTGCAGAAAATAATAACAAGAACGAGTTACGAAAATCGTATTAGAAATTTGTCACAAATTAAAATTTTAGTTTAAGATTAAGCTGACCACAAGGGGTGATGGGGTTTGTTATTTAATTTAAACAAATTTATAATTTACGTAAGAACGATTTGAGATCACTTTTAAAATATTTCAAACGTTACACAATATATATATTTATATATTATATATATAATATTATTCATTTTATATATCCGAGTAAAATTTGAATGA